TCAACAGTAACTTCGCTAGCAACGGTAGAAGACTCCGAAGGTGCATACTCGGTGGAGCGATCGATATCGCGTAGTAGTCTTGAAATGAGGGAATCTGTCGCCTTAGAGCTGGTCATCGCAGTGTCAACAGATGCATCGTTGTAGCCTTCCTTATGGCGATAACATAACCCAGTTCTGCCTCTCGCAGCGGTGTGACACCCTGGATAGGTACAACGTTTCCCACCGCCGTGACGGATGCAGTACCTAAGTTCAATTCCAGCATAATGATAATGTAAGTTATTCATCATCGTAGATACATAACAACATTCATGATGCATTCGAAAAATGCTGAAATGATTTATTGCGTTCCCAGCGCAGCTTACTTGCCTTCACCTCCTTTTCTCGACGTAGCCTTGCACCCCGGAAACTCGCATGCTCGGGCTCCTCCATGCTTAACGCAAAATCGGGTACCTAGACCAGTCCAGCTAACCATGCCTCTCACAGTGTGATCAACAACTGACCATTCTGGCGGTACTTCAGACAACCTCCAACGAACGCGCAACGCCATCGCTTCGCGGCTCCTCGTCCTGTAGGCCCTGCCACCTCCGACGCCATAAGCACAAGGGATAGCCACTGATTGGCTTATAATACTAATAGGGATGTTTGAAGTTGTTGCCGTTGAGTTAAACCCAACTGGAAAACGCGACAATACCGTGCAGAGAGATACAATGGACGAGACACTCCTGGATAGTCCGATGAATTAGATATGAACCGACAAAAGGACAGCTATAGTGAGCAGCGTATTTTAGCCAACATAGTGGATGAAACAGTACGAAGAGACCCGAATGCAGGAGATAAGGACGGGGTCACTCGTGAATCCCTGGAGTAGCAGGAGGTCTCTTTCCGAAACCTCTACGCTCATTGGCCAACCATTAATGCACGACGATAAGCGAAGGTTCAACTGGGTGTGGTATTCACCAAAACGACTCCTTTGGTGGGAATAACTTCAGTTGAACAACTTCTGGAGATCGAACGTATGATGCCAATAGGCCAACCCCTGTTGAAAGTAAAGACGTGTGAGAACGTGAGACAAGGTAATACGATACGCTACGAGAAGACTTGAAAAAATACTAGTGTGAATCGCAAGTACAAAGCACAGCAAAGGCGAACTACAGCCGACTCCAATCCCGATCCGAGACCAGGGACGAGCCCGCAGAGTGAGCATCAGAAAAGATAAAGTTTGTCAGAAGCATCAGAATTAATGTGATTTGTGAGCAACTCAGGCAGAGGCTCCAACGGCTCCACAAAACTTGTCCATTTCTCGTCACTGAGTGCCATGAAATCGAGGGACGTCAAGTTGGTCTGACACTCTGCAATGGCTGGTTGAGCTTCCCAACAGGTCGCATCCAAATACGATGATGCTAGATCGATCGAAAAGTCAACGACATCGCCACCCGAGACCTCCTCAGCTGAGCCAACAGGAGTAAGCTGAGAGGCTTGATCGAGCTCGGAGCCAGAGGCAGTCGACGCTGTCGAATCCTTTCTGGATATCGCACTGGTCAGGTTCCGATGCTTATAGCAGTAACCTGTAGAGCCTCTAGCAGAGACTCCACACCCTGGCACGCGGCAGGACTTGCCGCCACCATGCCGAATACAGAACCTACAATGTGAACACTCCGACAGCAAACCATCAGCAGTGGACTCACATGGCCTTAGTAGTGTCACCTCGTTTAGCAGCGTTGGGACATCCAGGCATGGCACATCGACGTACCCCGCCATGCTTCACGCAGAACCTTGTCCCTGAATACAACCAGCACTGAGCGAGCAGCACAAGATGTGCTAGGCTCACCATTTTGTCGGTATTTGTTGCAGCCCAAGGGATAAGCGCATTTACCCTTACCATTCGAGGGCCTTTTCGTCTTAGGCGATCCCTTACTACTACAACTAGCTCGGGATCGAGGACTGATGCTGCGAGAGCTGCCCGGCATGTCTTCCTGTGCTACTAAATCAACCGCCAACGTATTAGAGTATTTGGCCGCTTCAATAGCAATGTTTGGATTCAGTGATAGCGGTACAGGGACAGGACTTTCCATTATTGGCGTTTCTTCGGATTCAATGGGCACTGCCGCGGTGGAGAAAAGCAGGTTCGAACTAGCTTGATAGAACCCACCCTGAGAAGAGGTCCATGACCCATCATCAGCCCGTAGAGATAACTACGTTCGTAAAGCCTTCCGCTGGCACCATCGTCGCCTGCAGCTCTTCTTGTTGTACGTCTTGTAGTTGGCCCTCAGGCAGCAGAGACAACTCGAGCGGTGGCAACGATGAAGTAAAAATTTTGGTAAAGTTATTAAACTGCGACTGAGTACCAGCCCATCGATCTCACCGTACCATCCAACGTGTACCAAAGGCTACGTGGAAGGGCCGCAGCTTGAGCCCTCGTCGATGCCACGACCAATTACTGCTAGTAGAAGAGTACAATCGATCAGAATGGCAAGCGCGACTCTCATCCAAGAGATCCCTGGTTCGATCCCGGCCAGTGGCTTTTCTAACAGGCACTAACCACACACCCTCATTCCCATCTCCCACTGCGGCACTGAGCTGACGCGGGTACGGATAGAAACGCTATGGACAGTATAGCCGGCGTATAAACTGAAGGACTACATTCACTCGTCCACTATAGCTTGGCCAGCCAGGATCTATAAAAACATATCATAACTGCCACACCCCAATCTCCAGAGCCTACCGAGCGCTGATTGTTGAAGTGCGGTCTGAGCACCCACTCCGTCTTCACATCAGGCATATCCAGAGTGCCCAGCTCGAGACGATAGAGTTGCATGTTGAACCGAGGACCCTGAATGTCGTGATAGGGCTAGCCGCTACATCACAAGCTGAGGTGTTCACCTGTTCATATAGCTTCACATCTTCCGCCTTGACATCAGCTCTATTCTTAGTGGCCTTGGTGGGCTTTTCGAAAGTGTGATGACGGAAGCCGATGCAGTCACCACCGTCATTGGCGAATGTGATAGTTCGTGTGCCTAGCAGAAACCCACATACCACCGACCCGCACAGGTTCGATCCCGCACGACGGCTATTCTTACTATCGGGCTTGGACGGGGGGAACAGTGCCGATAGGACTGTCTGTACTCGGGTACCTTAAGCTATATCTATCAGGCGAAATAGTCTACTACCCAAATCTATTACCGATATTCCCACCGAAATTGTGGAAGATGAGATGGGGATACGTCTCGGGCATATTCGGCGGCTTTTCCGGAAGATCATGTCGCAATACCTACGACAACTTTCCTCGGTCGTGATTTGAGACTGCTAGCTATAGCAACAGCGAGAGAACTCGGGAAATACCGTTACTGCTGACAGTGGCACTTGAGGGGAGTAAGTAACGGCGCTCAGATACTTATAGCGATGGGTGAAAGCTTCGCGAGATTATAGCAAAACGATCAATGCCGCAGCCTACCGCCAGAGTAAACTTCAAGTAGGAGTGGTAGCAAATTAAGAAACAGCAGTGATAGTGTAATATGTATTCCCGTTAAGAGTTTATGTTGTTATTACCACGTCCGAGAGGCCGAAGTAAGCCGTAGGGCCGTAAGGTAGATGCGAGACGATGAGTCCATCCGGCTGACCTCGGTGCTCATGTACAATAACCTGCAGCCATCAACGATACGATAAACTGCCTATCCTCACTTCCCCACCATATCGCTGATGTCGTTCTTCCTGCACAAGTCCACCAAGTCCTTCATAACGTACGTGCCTCGGTTGATCCGCTGACTGTTGGGTATGAGCAGCCTCACCTCCTTCACGAACTTCCCCAACCTGATCCGCCATCATCATCATCACCAGCCGCAGTCGGCGAGCCCCCTACCTCGAGCTGGGATTGCGACTGGTAGTAACCAGAACCCTCGGCTCACGTACACCAAGGTATTGGTATTCATCATCGATGGCCAGCCTTTGCACCTAGGGTCAACACAATGACCAACACTAACAACGATCTAAAGTCTCGAGTTACTGCGATCAGCGATGTGTTCCGAAGCATTCACGCTGGATCTAACACTGTGAGCCTTCCACCGATACGAGCATCGACCGAACTCTTATACATTCATCCTCAGACAACGACAACGAAGGTGCCAACTAATCAGTTGGGATTCCCTGTGCGGTACGTGGCTCGCCGAAGAGAACACATCGATCGGATATTCAAGTAGTGAAGTGAAACCCTAGCCAGCGTTAGTAATACCTTAGTTCTGTCGTCCTCCAAGTCAAGAGTCGTCCGCAACTTCGTATCTCCTCTTAGCTCAGTCGGCACCGACTTGTTCTGTTCCAGAGCCTCTCTCAGCTTCCGCTTCTTCTCCAGAGTAGTACCTTGAGCCACACCACTACGCGCCGGTCCCCACACCAGCAAAGGCTCACGTTCCTTCTCCTCCAAGGCTTTCTTGTACAAGTACTCTTTTCTCAGTCGCACGTTACGTCGGAGCATCGAATCAATGAACAGCTGCTGAAACTTATTTCCAATATAGCCCTCTCAACTCGAACACAGCGTTCAAACAACAACAACAACAACAACAACATCATCAGACTTAGACTTTCTCATGATCTTTGCGAGCCCCTCGGGCTTCCCAAACTGGAGGATTGTATTTGATACCCATCCATCGTCGAGGAAGGCTATGACTGGTTACCATGCAGCGAGGCTCCTCCGTCCGCCAAAACCTAAATGGAGGGCCCAGGAATTGAACCTGCGACCTCCCCTGAGTGGTATCACCTCGGACACGAAACGCCGAACTTGGACACCCCCTCATAAGGCACCGGATAGCCGCTGTACATTCCGGCTGGTGCTACCGCTCCCACGTCCACACTGTGGCTTCTCCTTAGATGCTGAGATGCGTCCAGCCTTGCCTGGAGTCAGAGAGCCTCCATGATCAGACAGCACATCACTACCCTCCCGTTCCTCTGCCTAAGCCTTGCTGCTCCCTCTAGAACCTCCTCAGCATACCAGTCGGTCGTGGGATACGCCTTGAACCAGTAATAGCCACAACCTTGAGAGCTCATATCAGCAAAGTAACAGTGGAGGGGAAGTATAGTGTATAACTCGACACCCACCGATTGGATAAGGATACAGTTTATTCACTTTCCCTGTGTATGGCACATTCACGAGTATCGAGCCAGGTCAGTGCTGAATACACTAGGTACTGCTGTGATGCACTCCGCGCCCATGTTGTACTGCAGCATTTCAATCTCATAGTCCTGCCGACAACACTACCGCTCCTCAGCCATTCGCAAACACTTCACTACTGCCTCGTGAAGTTGACTGCAACCACCATACGGGAGGTAGACTGAGCCTGCAGTACTCATTCAAGGAGCGGTCCAACTCAGCGAGACGTTCGAAAGACAACACTGGCTTGCTCAAGGCCCCTTAGCAGAAAATCACAAAAGAACTCAACCCGAAGCCCATGGGCTACTCAGAGCGCCTCATCTTTCGTCATCAATCTCAAGAGTGATGATGCCTATCCCCTTTACCACAACCTTAGCTATAGTAGGCCAGAGTCGGGGAACGCAGAGGAGGAGAAGATCTACGCGGAAAACAGTTACCCGAATTTCAACAAGAAGCTCGACACTGCTTTCCTCCACCGTTACAGAGCACAGCGTTGCATGATCGATGATTCCCTGGCCCGGTCGAGGCCCTTCCAAGCGTGCTTCCAAGGGCCCGAGGACGGTCATCGCCTAGCATAGACGGTTATGACCTCTTTGGGCCCAACACCGCTCGAGATCATATAGGGGTATTCAAGTTCGGCACCCTCTACTATCATGAGCACAGATTATAAGGGAGTAACGGGGGAACTACTGTAGGAGAAGACAATGACCATCTCACTGCTGAAAATTCAAAACGTGAATCGCTTCGCTCCGTCCCGTCACGTCACGCACATCATCGAGGTTTCTGTCCCTTTCTAGACGAATGTCGTAGTGGATAAGTGGACATCGTGGACGTTCGAACACAAACTCAATGAGCGGAGCGATGTGAGTTTCCTTTCCATGAAATGGACCAGTTTTTCCTCCAGTCTCACTTGCCACGCTGACTAGCGGTCAACTGAACGGGATGAACCCAAACCTCACTTGAATACCCGAAACACGATGATCAATCATCACACAGCATGATATGCTGCCGAGCTCTCGCTCCGCAATGTAAATGGCTCTATCAACTCAAAGGCAGTTCTTCTCATTTCTTCTCTTTCGTCGCTGCTGCCGCCAAGCCTTCATAAAAGCTGCGCTTGTTCGGTGTAACCTCTCCAGCATCTAATACGACAACACCATATCCTCTCCAACGCGCTCAAGACACGCATACCGTCAACGGACACCGAGGGCTCGTGGACCTTCGTCTTGGGCACGTCCAAGACCGTGAGCTTGTTCTGAGGTAAGTAATCTCGATCTATCGTCCGCCTCGCATACGCGCTGTTTTTCTCATACACCTAAACACAAAAATCAACCAATTCACAAAAGACGGCGCTGCTCACGTAAGGAGCGTTTTTTTTCTCCGGTAAATTCGTAAATTCAGCATTTCAGGCTAACTAGTTAGTGTTTCAGGCTGAAACTTCAACGAGGCTCGAAAGACGAGGTTGCTCACGTAACTTACATCATAAAACTTCTCAGGATCAGGAGGCTCCTCCACTCCTTTTAGTTTCTCCCATCTTTCCAATATCGGGTTATAATATCTGAGGGACTCAGTCCCTCACCGGAACGCCCCTTCCCTGCTACTTACGCCCGAGTAAGGGGTACAGATTTATCATCAAAGCCAGGGTCATTTCGAGATGGCTCCGACGGTCGCTCGCCAGGCCCGAACTCGGGGGCTAGGATGCACCCGATCCAACTGAAATACATTACTGGTGGGCACCTAAGCCGACCCCCTCCCAACTCACACGACAACCGGCACAGCGATGAGCAGCTTGATCATCATCGACAGCGGCATCTCGTCCTGCGGCACATCATTCCTTTCCCCCTTGGCGTATCTATCAAAAACTCCTCGTAGAACATGCTGCTGGGGAGGGGGGCGACTAACCTTCTGTATCGTTCTCGTCGTGCATTCCGCTGCTCCGGCGTTTCCTTGTTATAATGTTCCTTCCAGTCCTCGCCCTTGGCCTAAGGAAGAGCTGTCGGCCACACCAGTCGGTACACAACTATTCATCCCAGGGATTTTTGTGGCGCGCGCTCTTGCTCGGTCAGATAACGCTTTATTATTTGCAAGGCTCTATCCACAAGTTGGTACTATGTGGCATTTCATCGATCCATCAATTCGAACGAGTCGATACCCGTCGACTCCACCAAATGCCTCTTTCTCACTTGACTGTCGAGAGCCGCTCCAAACTGCATATCCTGGTCGTAAATAGTCCTCTTCCACTGATTTCCCAAAGTAGCATATGCCTCGCACACCTACACACACACGCCCCAGCCTATCACTCACCCCCATAGTAGGACATGACCAACCTCCTTAAACTTGTCCCCAGCCAGAGGGTCATCCGGGTTCCGGTCTGGATGCCATTTCTTAGCCATATCACGATAAGCCTGCTTTATCTCCTCTCCTGTTGCCTTCTGCTCTATCCCCAGAACCTATCCACCCAGACTCCCTCCAATATGAGTCACCCTGCCACTATCATCACCTCATACAAGTTCTTCTTTCCACCACGAGAGGAGCTACTGTTCGCGAAACTCCGTATTCGAGATACACCGAGTAGCCGGTCTGGTCGCATGGGAGAGACTAAAGTCCGCCGCAGAGATGATGACGCAATTGAAGGAATCATCTATAGTCAACCTGTTCACGGGTCACCCCGTAAGCTGGCAATCCTTCTCCTATAAAAGTAAGACCGATCCGATAACACTCGAGTGCAGTGTGAAAAGTATGCACAAGATCAGCTACGTGTGTTGATGACAATGAGAGAACCATCGCTAGTTTTCGTACACTTCTACCCAAAACCTTGTGTAAACTCTCATGATGTCGCGAGAGACCCACTGAGTTCAGCCAAGGAAGCTAAACATATTCCAACATTGTGTGAATGACACTGAACTCGACCACCCCACCCTTGCATAAAAATCTGAAACGATTATTAGACTACGTTGCGGACAAGCTCGTTCGAGCTCCCTCTACTTCGGAAAATGCCTTCTCTCGATTCAACCTGTTCATGATCTACAACACTACTCACACCCCAACGTCACCTCATCACATCGCGTGTCACCAAGACGGCTGGTTGCCTATTATAGCCAACTCCTGGATCCGCCACGGGTGCTCTAAATTCTGAACAAGGCACCAATTCGTCGTTTTCAATCACTCGGCGAGCTCGGAAATGCATTTACGGTATGAAATTTCCAAATAATCATTTCGATCAAGACCTTCCATGACACTGAGCATCGCTTCGTAGCGCGTCCAACACCGGTGTCAAGCGAGGCTCCACTCACATCCCTGCATATATGATAGCGATTCCCGTCTTACCCCCGACTCGGGCTCCGGATGCTTCTGAATCGCCATAGCATAAAATACACGTCTGATGTCATCAACTGCTCCCTCCACCACCTCCCCTGACATGGAGACTCACAGGAACGCCCTCGGCTCAGTATAGTCCTTACCGAACTCATTTCGAAGACAGTTGATTTGCTGCGTTGAAAAGGTAAAAATGAAACACGGCGAGTCGACCTCTGAGGCCGTCTTCGCCCCCTTCAACTCCACATCCATGGGTGGCTAACAGAACATAAGGTCGGACACTAGAGGACGACTAACCTGTAAAATGTTCGTATCCAACGTCAGCTTCTGCGTATGCCGTGCCTTCACGGAAGCGTTCACAGCGGCAAAGGCCGCCTCCCCACAGTGGGCTTCGAGTCGCTCCACATCACCCTAAACGATTTCCTAATTATGTCATACCACGCCATTTCCACATTTTCAAAAAGAGTTACTGCACAACCCCCCTCACCTCGAGATACCATCGGATGATCCTGGGAGCCACGACATGCTCGATGTCCTCGGCCATCTGCGACAAGCGGAAGTTGGGATCGACCTCCTTCATCTCCCGTATCGACTGGGCAATCTCCGTCTCGCCAAATATCCTACCAGAAAAGTAACCCCTCACCCGCACCCAAATCAACCCACCGATCGACCATAGGGTTCTGGAAGAACCCTCCGAGAAACCTCGAATCCTCACTGGAGGTAAACCCAAAACGTTCCCAAGTCGAGCGAGCCCTCTCCGAAACCACCAACGCTGAGCCGTGCGGATTCTCCGGCAACGGTTCCGCCTACAACAGACCATCCCACACCGATGTGCCGGGCGAGCGAAAATACCGCGGGATCTTCAGCCACCTTTTCTCGTATTTTCTGCTCTTTCTCCAAATCACGCATGGCCTAACACCGACATTCACAGTTGGAACCCAAACGAGACTTCCACCTACCGCCTGAGCCCTCTGGAATTGCTTCAGCCGTTCCTGCACGCCCTCGGAGCTCTCCTTATCCATCATCTTCGTGAACCCACTCGCCTTGTCCACCAGCTGAGGTCCACAACCACCACTTCCACATCGACACCCCACCCTCCCCTACCCCCGACGTAGCCTCCCGAGCCTTGGCGCTCACAACGTGCAGCTGATCCAACACCGGTTTCATCCACTCGGGCGTACCTCCCAGACCACCCATCCGTGAACTCCGCAAAAGCCACCACCTTACGCTTGGTTGTCTGCCCCGCCTCAGCTGCCGTCCCTCCTGTCTCCGGCATATGTCTTCTTAATTCCTCATAAAGGCTCTTCGTCCGGTCCCTGAGCCCTCTCATCATCATCCTGCTCAGAACCCTACCCCCTCTCCCTTACTTCGCGCTCTGCATCTTCTCCCGCATCGCCGCCAACTTCGCCTCCTGTGCCTCCGCCCGAGCCCGCAGCTGCTCGTTCGTCTCCGTTACCTATTCACCACCGCCCCATCCAGTGTTGGAGGAATATATACTTCCTCACCATTTATAAGAGTTTATATGTGAATTCGGGTAGAAATGCTCAGACACTAATAGGAATTCCCCGAAATTTCCTCAGAATTTTCATATTGCCTCCAACACATCCAATTCGCCTGCTACCTTCGAGGCCGTCTTCTCCACCTCCTCAAACGCCTTCTTCAGCTTGGGATCATTCTCAGCCTCTCGCCGTACTTGCTCCATAACCTGTACATACACAGTCACACCGTAGACGATCCTTCACACTACCAACCTGTCTAATGAACGATGAGCTCTGCCGCCGTTGCCATGCGGCTCTACCCAGGCTACCGACTCGCCAGCTCCTACCCAGTGACGCCATGTGTTGAGAAAAAGGTTGCATTCTTCCTGCATTAAAAATTCGTACTTAATCAACACAACCACCGCTGGCAAGATGTGACTCAAAGTGTTGAAAATGTGAGAGACTCTTCTGTGTGAGCCTGCGATGAGAACATTCTCTACTTCTTGATAAAAAAACTCGACGTCGACTCCAGACCGGAAAACCGACTCAAACCTGAGGTCAGCGCTACCCACAGCCCTGATATCGACAGGGCCCATCCTACCTCCACCAAATCAACAAAGGCATCCAAGTCGTCGATATCATCCAGAGTCGCCGTGGACGGGATCGGGCGAACAACCACGAGCTTCGTGCCTACCATCGACGGCTCCAACGCGGCGCATTGGTTCATCAATTCGACACTACCCGAAGCGGCAAGCCCTGTCTCCTTGCAGAAGTCCTTCACGTTCTGAATCACGGCTTCTGCGGACTGGTAACTGGTGAGGGAGGAGGAGCACGGGACGAAGGTGGACGAGCCTTTTATTACCTGGAGGTCTGTAAGGGCTCCACGCCCCACAGAGTAGTGAAAAAGTTTACTACCGCCTCAGAAGCAGACATGGCCAGAATCTGACCAAGGGGGAGTGCAGGGATTCTCTCTATACGTCGAATCACCTTGCAGTACGGCCTCATCCTCGACAGCATCGCCGCTGATGTACCATCATCTGAGAATGCCTGAGCGAGGTGGTGCTCACCAAGGAGAGCCTCATGACCAACTGCAAGGGTGGTTACCACTATCAGCTTGGCGTCATTGGAGGGGTCCTTCTGCAGTGCGATGGCTCTCTCCACCACCGCCGCCACCACTGAGTCCGATCTAGTAGGGCACGAAAAGGAAACGTCCACTGCTGAAACCTGAATAGATAACCAAAAACAGAACTCCTCTAGAAGGGCAGCTGCGAGCCGAGCCCTACCTGATCCTCTAGGGTATGGACGGTCGCGGCAGCATGCGATGCTTGGTCGCTATCGAGCTGAAGAGAATGACGACACTACGAGGAGTTTAGGTGAGGAGAGTACTCACCAGTGCCGTATCGCTTTGAACCGATACTGCCGCCATAAGGTTACCAACGGGAGCAGCAGTGCAGTCTGTGATCACCTATGCAAGGTTGGCACTACACAGCAGTGAGGAGCTCAATTCAAAGACTAAGGCGACTATGCTATCGAGGATGAACACGACAGTATCACATCACGGGTCGGTCGATGCCGCGACCGAGCCCTTGCATAAAGCCATTTTGACAAGACATTAATAACATAATATCTTGCCAAGTACTTGTCTGCAGACTATGACATAAATACATACTACGAACTACTCGATAAGCATATTAGCGTACGAAAGGATATGATATTTGCTATACTAGACGTGTACACCATAATGGTCAATTCAATCAAATACGATGTAATGGGATGAAACTGGATGT